AGCCAATTGTGAGCACATCAAGAATGTAATTAAGTTGCCAAGGAATAGCAGGGGTGTTAGTGTTCCAAGGTCAACAATCAAGGTATAAAATACACCAAAGTCAACTAAATATTTATCTAACTTATTTTGGTATTTGTTTAATTAATTAAAGGCATTTAACCCTACTTAAATTAAGTGGACAATTTAGTTTCATCAAAACAGTACCAAAATTTTTGTGAAGGTAGATCCAAGCATACAAAGCATACACAAAAAGTTTCATGATTTTAGGATTATTATTTTAGTCTATAAAAATCATGGAAGGTCCATTTTATAATTAAAAATATAATTTTTAGGCATAGCAAGACTACTGAAAATGGCTAACTCACATTTTTCCTAAGTTAACAGAGCTACACAAAAAATTTCATAATTTTATCACCTCTAATTATTTAGTCATGAATTAAACAAGAATCAGCATTTATTAGCATTTTCAAAAAATCAAAAAAGGACAAAATCCTTTTCTCATCCACTCTCTCACCCTCAGACACCGATAGAGGGACCTAGGGTCACGCTCGCGCTGACCACAGCGCTGGCGGCCGTTGACCGGTGGGTACTTGCCGACGGCAACCTCAATGACGTTGAGACCAACACCGGCGGACTTGCCTCCCTCTCGCGCACACGCTAGTGGTGACGGTTGATCAACTAGGGCACGAAAGCACACACGCCAGCGACCATGGCGGCACGGCGGATCTCCAACGTGGTGGACAAGATCAGCGGTGAGCTCTCCGACGTCGCAAAGGTTACCGGCGTACTCGCCTCATTCACGCGAACACGTTGGTGATTCTAGTTGAGGCTCTAACGCGTTGTAGCACACGCGGTTGTGACTACGGCGGCCCGACAACGCTCCGGCGAGGCAGAGACGACTGACGGTGAGATCACAGACGACATGAAGGTCACCAACACACTCACGATGCTCAAGCGAACATGCTCGAGGGCTTTGTTGGGTGCATTTAGGTTAGTAGCGTGTTTGCACGCGACCACAGCGGCTCGTCGGGGCAGAGCACACCGGCATAGTGGCCACTTGGGCATGGTAGAGTCTAAACGGATGGCGGGGCTAGCTTCAGGAGCTCACCATGACTTCAAATGCCTACTAGTTGAGTTAGAGACACGGCGGAGCTAGATCACCAGTACCGAGATCAGTGGCGGCGACGCGAACTCACGAACACGGTGGCATTCCAGCGCTTGTCTGAGAAAACCATCAAGTCGATGAGCAACAAGACAACAAAGCGGAGCCAAAACACGAGATGGACAAGAAAGCAATGCGCCACAGAGGGCTGCCCACGGCGAGGGGGCTCACGGCGGCGCTGTGAACGTCGCTGAGGAAGACAACGGCTTGTGGGCGACTCCGGTGGGTAGAGCTGGCGTGAGCTAGCTCAGGCAATGCACAAGGATGAGGTGAGGCTAGCGGTGCGAGCAATTAGGCGACGACGGAGTGGTGGTGGAGAAATTGACCGGCCAAAGGAATATGCATGGCGATGACGGAAAGAGAGAAGAAGAGCAATGGCGACCGGCTCGACGTTATAAAAGCAGGGCGCGGCTTTTGGGCGTCCAGCATCTGCTCAGGAGTCGTCCATGGAAGCAGCTACGTGTCACGCGCGCGCAAGGCGGTGAGCAAGGGCGGCTGCTTCCTAGGATACTGTAACGACTAAAACAAGCTTCTTCCTCTCACATTTTCTCCCGATTCCTAGTAGAAACTTGAAAATCTCCAAAAACAAAAGTTGTTCACCTTGATGCCATCTCCAACTTTGCTTTATGGCTCATCTCATAATTCTAAGTGGTTAGAGAGATCTAGGATCAAGAACAGGGATACATTGAAACTTGAATTCTGAATTTGCAATTAGGGTTTGATAAAGGAAACAATTAACTTAGCTATTTTGGTGAATTAATTGATGATTAATTAGTGATCAAACATCACAACCAATAGTACTATTGCACAGTACAAACTTTATACTTTGAAATGCTACTGTTGTTTGCCACAAGTTTATTTGAGAAATTCATTTTAATAATTCCCCCAAAATTGAATTCAAAACTAAATTCCAAGACAGCCAAAACTGCCCAAGTGCTGAAATTCAGTTATGTTTTCAAATTTGGAGTTCAAATTTTAGTGGGTTACACTTGAATTCATACCCTACACTTGACACTATTGTAAAGTACACACTTTACACCTCAAAGTTTATTAGGGCATAATTCCAAGTGTTTTTGGTGAAATTCAAAATTAGAAGGTCACAAAGTATCTTAAAATGATTTTTGGTTTTAGCTCATTACACTACACATGCATTGCATTACTACAAATTAACATTGAGTTTAGCGAATGCAAGGCATGGTTAACTAACATGGATGATTACTATGCATGATGATGACATGATCAAGTTTTAGTGATGCTTAACACCAGGGGTGTTACAGCTCCTCCCCACTTACATAAATCTCGCCCCGAGCTTAAGCAATGCTTGAAGCCTAGGGTTGAGTAATGGAAAATGAAATGTGTCAAACACATTTACTGGCTAGTTGTTTCATAAAACAACAAAGGAAAGTGTACTACTATTCCAGCTTCCTACAGAAGGGTTATAACTGTGGAGGAGTTAGCAACCCAAGAAGACAAAGGAATCCGAACAACTCTCTGTAACCCCTACGGATGGCCGATGTTTCATGATAGATGCTTTATGGATGCTTTATGAAGGTATGCTATGCACTTAGAATCAAAGAACAAAACTGCAGGGTATGGGCTATAGATAACATACTCATCACGACAGGTTCACCTTCAAGAATGGCCTCACCCTGAATATAATGAACTCGACCCGTCTTTGGACTAGGTCCTCTCTTTTGCGCATTCTGCTGATTACTCTGCTATTGATTATTGTACTGCTGGTTCATTTGTTTCCTGGGAGCATTGTTCTGCTTGGGAAGACGATAGTCTCGAGAAAAGTGCCCAATCTTACCACAATTGTAACATGGGAGGTTACTATTATTCTATGGGTTATTGGGACGAATACCAGGGGTATTCGGCTGGCGTGGATAGGAAGGAACGGCAGCAGGTCGGACAAATAACTGCTGCTGGCCATGTTGCTGCAGTGGAAAATAAGTAGGACGATGGCCAGGTTGATAGACAAGCCTTTGGCGCTGATTATTGCCACCAGAGAATCCCACGTGCACATTCTTCCTCTTCTTCACCTCCTTGTGCAGACGGTTCTTTTCTTCAGAAGCAGTCTTCTTAGCATCTTTCCAATGAGAGCTCTCGCACACATCACAAAAATCTTTCTTAGCTGCATCTCCTCGGAAAAGCATGCAATCTTTGGGGCAAGCATGTATTTTCACAAAGTCAAGGCCTAAAGCACGGATGATTCTCTTCACTTGATAATATGTTTTAGGTAGGTCTGCCTCAGGAGGATATGAATCAGCTAGCACACCCAAAAGTGTTGTAAATGATTCTTGTGTCCAGCCATTTAAGCACTTTAAGTGATATAAATTACCAAAAATGACAACTTAGAAAATTTACAGCCAGGATATAAGATTGCGTGTGCATCCTTCAAGTATCTTTCATACAGATTCTATTGACTCCCCTTAGCATTGTCATCTGCAGGATGCTCATCCTCAGCTATAGTATGTTCCATATCTGCAAATCCTGATTCAACATCATCTACTTCACCTTCCGACATACTTGGTAGTTACTCGAGCATTTCAGCCCTGCAAAAGGCAGCTTGAAGTAGTTCTTGCATGCCATCTTGTACTGCAGCAGCCGTTGGGACACCCGAAGTAGGCAAATTTGTAGTGTTATTTGGAACGTCAACAAATGCTAATGGTGGACTGTCATACATTTCTCCATGATGAACCCAGGTCGTATAACCTTGTGTAATACCATCACATCTCAAGTGTGTCCTGACTTCATCATGACTCTGGTTTAATCTGTTTTTGCATTTTTTGCAAGGACAAAGTATCTCGCTATCACGTGGAATGTCGCGGTAAGAAAAATTCAAAAATTGCTCAACACCATCTGGATATGCAGTATCCTGTCTTGGCTTACTCATCCAACTTCGATCCATCACCCTTTGACAAGAATAAAAATGAAATGGAATAATCAGTGTTTTTCTTTTACAATACATATAGATATCTGAGGACCAATAATAGTACTAGATTTGCACGAACAAAATCAGATCAACAATCTTTTAGGTACATAATAAACCATAAATCTATTCTATGCAGGCATGGTACTGGATAGAATCTTAATTTGAGCTGTAAGCTTGGCTTGAAATTTACATTTGTTTGAAAATCAATAATATGACAATACAATAATTAGGTGACACCACAATTGGATCTGCTCCATTTTCATTTCTTCTTCAACGGATCAATCTTGGACAGGAAAAAATAATATATCTATATCTAAATTCAGCCTCCTGGTTTTAGTTCACCATGAAGCCCTCTTCTAAATTCAACCAACAAACTGAGAAAACAATAGTTGCAATATATATGCAAACTCAATTCTATAAATAAATAAGATCAGCCCAAAACATCAGATATCTGCATATGAGCATATTAATTAAAATCCTCCTTGCAGCCCATTGCTAGCAGTCAATTGGCATAATAAAAATATTTTATACTCGTATCATTGAATCCTAAATGGAACTCATATACTTAATTGCTAACAACATATAGTGCCACTTAGCCATCTCTAGTTTTCTGCAGTTCCAGGATTATAGAAGCTGCAGAATTGATCAACTTCACCAGTGGACTGTAGACCAGAATAACATAAAATGACAATGACTCACTGGTTATTGACATTCGCTGCATATCCGAAATCCAACACAGAACAAACAGATTACTGCCCCGGATCTCACCTGTTAGCCTGTCCTGACGACTTGTAGAGCAGAGCAGCGTCAAGGAGCAGAACGGGGCAACGAGCTGTAGTCTAAACTCTACTGAACAGCAGAACTGCAGATGCCACAGGGGGCGGGGCAGCCCATCAGGCCACGATGGTCGCCGCCTCACCGGTTCGTGGCGCCCTGCGGTGGCCAGTGGATCTGCTGGCTGCTGCTACCTGCCGCAGTGCCGCTGAGAGGCCGAGGGAAGGAGGCCGCGAAGCCAAGCCGCCGATAGGTGCCTCCAGGCTCCGGCAGAGGGGAGCTGAGGTGAGCAGATGCCACACACGAACTCACGGACGGACCTGAGGGGAGCAGATGCGGCCGGCGAGTGCGGCGTTCAGGAGAGAGGCAGATTGGATGAGGGGCTATCTGGTTGCGTTGGGTCGTCAAGAGTTTTCGCTGCGTTATCTGTTACACCTGCGCGCCCTGCAGACTCGGAGCAGGATCTTCCGAGTCTACGATCTCCACCAGGGACTTGTTTAGATTGTCCCCAAATTCTAAGTTTTTTCACTCTCTTTCTATCACGTCAATTTTTAGACGCATGTATGGAGCATTAAATATAGATAAAAAAAATAACTAATTACACAGTTTGGTTGTAAATCACGAGACGGATCTTTTGAGACTAGTTAGTCCATGATCGGACAAAATTTATCAAATACAAACGAAATATGCTACAGTGTCCAGGTTGCAAAAATTTGCAATCTAAACAAGGCCCAAGCTAGACTGCACACAAAATATATTAATTAATAAAAGTTTTAAATAATTACTCAAAATCCACCGTCTTTTCCTTCAAATGCACGAGATCCACCCCTGTCCTCCTATCTATTTTAAAAGTATCGATTGATAATCTGTCTAGTGAGAAGAAAAAAAAGATACACTACTGATAATAGGATATCATCTACCAAGAAGTGAGATAAGTAATCCGATGTGCAACTTATGTTGGAGAATGTACTTTACACTAATTTTAAATACCAATTGCTTAATTCATTCAAAAGATTTATATCTCTATCTCTTCCCTTCTCTATTATATACTCCTAAAAATACTCTAACGTCATCATCTACCTTGCTCACGAATCCACGTCCGAACACAAGTAAAACTTCACTCAGAGCTCACGTGTCCGCATCCTACGTGGTTACGAGACGAAGACTGTATCCACGTGTCCGCGTCCAATACAAAGTCCTCGGAGCTCTTACGCCCACATTCAATTACTGAGGTTCAATTAAAAATATTATGTCCCGGTGCAACGCATGGACATATATCTAGTAAAAAAAAGGGAAAAAAGAGTTTTCTCTGCTGCTGTCGAAGAGTTTTCGATTTGTGAGGATGACAACATTGTGGATTGGAATTATAGTAGCCTCGTCTTCGTATTATTGTAGAGAATGTAGTAAGTAGATTAATATATGAGCTCTCCTCATAGACCAGTGGTAGTGCTGCCATCTAAAATACCACATATTCGAGGTTCCAACCTATTACTAGCACTATTTTGTGTTCCTTTTATGTTATATAAATATTTTATAGTATTTTTTGTGTTATTATCATAATATTACATTATTATATACTATAGTGGCCAAGAGTACAAGCAGCTCCGAAAAACACTTGAGGTACAATGTTAAGAAAAATATTTTCATTTTAAACTTAAATTTTTATGGCGATATAAATCATAAGTACAAATGTTTAGTAACTACAAATTTGTAGCAAAAATATGTATGAGAGGATTTAGATATGTAATTGATGTTAATAATTTTTTTATAATGTCACTACATGCTACTGATGGATGACGAAGGCACATTTAATTTTGTTTCACTTTGAGATGTTTTCAATATCGTATCAAGAAGCATGTTTATGTGACTATGTACGACTATTGATACGCTTTGCAACGTGTACAAATTATACTAACGGTTTAAAGCGTGTCTAACTTCGTGTTATTTTTAGATGACTTTAGTATTGTATCAAAAAATATCTTTAATTGTCTATGGAGCGTTCTACGATACGCTTTGTAACATATCTAGAAGGTAGTGACGATTAAAAGCGTGTCTACCACCGTGTCACTTTGAGACGTTACAATACCATCATAAAAAAAGTGTCTTTAGATGCATTTTAACACTAAAAACGTGTCTAATATCATGTTATGTTGACACATTCATAAATCGTGTTAAAAAGCATCTTTACATGACTATGTAGAGACGCTTTTAGTGTGCGTTACTATAAAAGCATGCCTAGAGTGACTTTTTCTTATAGTGCTTGGAGAATTCGTGCATTGTCCGCGTTGATATTTATTAAAGTGGGAACTGCATCAGCAAGAGTTGGTGCCGGTGATGGATTAGGTGGAGGCGTGTTAGCACGACCACGTGAAGAACTGGGTGTGTCAGTTTTTCCAGAACGAGTCCTCATACTGTATGGTAAGAATGATCCTTTAGTTACCGGATTCCATAGATAGGTAGAATTACACAGGACAAGATAGCATGAAAAGGATTGGCAACATACTTAACCCCAAACTACTTGTAAAAGCGAAGGTAATTAAAAGATTATTAATGACATGATGTATGAACAATCTTACGCTTACTACAAACCTGCTTACATAACGTTATTGCTTAATGTTACATATTACAAAAGTGAGAGACAACACACTCAGTTTTACAACATAGGGCGATATTAAACATGCTATCCCACTTTACACACTTCTTCTAGGAGTATCCTCCACCCTCATGGTCATACGGAAAACGGGCAAAACGACGATGGGGAAAAGTAGGAAGACTATAGAAGATAGGATGGCCGGTATCTCCTGGTGCTTTCGGATGGGTAAGGTTCCCTGGCTCTCCCATTGCCTCTCTCAGCTCATTCTGGGGCATAAAGCGGTTATGTTGGGGAAGGATAGTATAATGCTCTCCTCTAATTGGTGGGTGTAGGTAGGGTTTATCTAACAAATCTGTTGCGCCAAAGATAAGTGGTGCTCTAGTTTCCCAAGAAGGATATAGTGACATGCATGGAGATTCTCTAGCTCTGCTGTTAGCTCCCCCAATCATCTCCTCGATGTGTTTAACTCTGAGGTAATGCATCGGTACATGACATCTAGAGCTCGAATAAGCTCAAACATCCAGTAGCTTTGGGTGTCATCCTCATACAAAGGATGTGGGTGTAAGACTTCATTCACACTCCTATTGACTCGGTAAGGAAAGTAGGCAAAGGTATAGGAGTTTTTAAGCTCTAAGTATCTACGTCTAAGGCTGGTAAAAGCACTATAGGTGCAGGCTTGGACTGCAACTTTAGGAGAGCTTCCAATACCAGATAAAATATGAGACCTCTCTGGTGGACCGATCATGAGTCGGGGATGTGGTAGGACACTAGCATAGCATTCTACAAGATTGGGACCAATTTGAGTCGTGTAAACGAAGTACTCCAGCGTGTAGGAGAAGTTGGCACGCCACATGAGTTCTCGCAGCATGGCTGGAAATCCTTCAGTACCCTCAGCTCTGGTCATGACGAATGGTACTCCTCGAGGCATCCTAAGCAAGCATAAGGGTGAGTTAGAAGCAACCTTTTTTACCAGAATAGGCTTAAAACTAATTTATATTGTTCATTTTGAAGTTTTATAAAGCAATACTACAACAACCTCTACAATGACATGGTCTGATACCAACTGTGGCAGAACCACTCAAATTATATGTCCCACGTGCGCTCGTCATTATCTCACAGACTTTTGACTGCTGCACACATAAGCCACATAATCCCGGTAGTCTGTTGGGTGTCCTTGGGAAACCCAAACCATCTACTTTATCTTTTCGAGCAAGATACATCATAGAAGGCATTGCAGTATTACAACAATTTATACAAATATATAGATATATTACATCGGAATAAACAACGAAAGTCTTACAAACTATAAGTTTACAAACCATTTATTTAGTTATTTGTTGGTATATTTTAGACGCACACATATAAATCCGCAAGCGCAAGGATACCGTTGTAGCTTTTACCCGGTAGTATTCCAAGTATCGTATCCACATAGAAACATGTGAGATTAACTATAGTCTAACTTAACTAGAGGTCGCAACAAGGCTAAGGATAAACAGGAGCGTAGAGAGGACTACTAAGGTTCTCTAGTTCTAACTTGGGTAAGCTATGTCTTCTACTGTTCAACTGGGGACATTACTAAGGAAAGACACCAACAGAGGATGCTTTCAGTAGCAATCGGGTTCTACTTGGCCTACAGATGGGAGATGGACTACAAAGGACTCAACGAGGCTATATAGTCACCCTCGCAATCTACCATCGGTCCAAAATATAGGGTGCATCCATGAGTAATCGAAGTCTAAGCACCACACTTACACTAATGATTATTACTTTATCTTAGGACCTATAGATCAAAGCACTCAAAAGAGTCTGAACCTGATGAACAATATAAACAAATTACTTACTTTAATCAGAATTGATTACCAGAGAAATCTCAGAAACAAGCTCAAGTAGAGCTTGATTCTGCCAAGGTACAAGCTATAGAGAGAGCACCGACATGCCGGCACTTCCAACAAACTCTTCCCTAACTCTCTATCTCACTATTTCTATTTATAAGACTAGATCCTAACTTGGAGGACTAATCTTCTTATGATTGCTGGCTCTAATCCTAATGATGAGGATGTGAATTAGGGTTTCAGGTTAGCTCTACTGGAGGAGGTAAATGGGCATATATATAGGAGGCAACGTCAAATCTGGACCCTCGGATCAAACCGACCTTTAGCGATGGCATAGATTTGATCGTTAAGGAGGTGGAGAACTGACATTCGAAGGAGGAACTAACCTATGGGACCCACAAGCTGGCTGGCCTATAGCTGGGGCCGACCGGCCCCACATGGCAGTGACTTGCTGAGGGTCACGGTGGTTTGCTTTTGGAGTGTTCTAGAGTCTTCCTAAGTCGGTTTTGTCATGGTTGAACGTGATTTACTTTGACGAATAGATCCTCCTTAATGGTTTTCTAATTAAATCCTCCTACATTCACAGATTCACCAAAATTAGTGGAATTTATTAGTTTAAACCCCTATCCCTATATTTGGTGATGAAATTATGTATATATATAGGATATGTTGAAGGTTTATGATTGATGTTAATAACCATCAACAGGCTCCCCAAGCTTAACCTTTGCTCGTCCCTAAGCAAAGCTAAACTCAGCAATGGATCAGGAGTTGCTATAATGTTTTCACGCCTCAAAAGTACACAGACGTTCAATCAAGAATTCTCCTCCATATTAGAATAAGATGATCTGACTTTCAAACTTACCCATATTACTTTCAACCATGGGGCTTCTTAGCCTTCACTTGGGTCTTGAGCAATTGAAAGACAGAATAATCAAGTCAAGCACTATGTCTCAAGTTCTTTGTTCCACCATTATTTTGGAGTTTTTTTAAAATAAAACTTAGAGATTCCATTGTATGACACTCTCATGTCTCTCAATATATGTGGTATTTGTGGATCCTTACCAAGGCAATAATGATTTTTGCCTTTTCTCTTCCTACCACTAAGGCTTATGTGGAGTTCAAAGGTAGGGAGAAAGCTGGAGCATACTTGCAATGCATATATTTTAAAGTCAAACAATGATCCAAAGAGAGATGAGTCATACAATTAAATCAAGGTGTGCATGTGTGTGGATATATGGTGGATATATATGGTGGCTATCCTAAATCTACTTTTCTCCTTGAAAACATATCTCTTATTTGAAACATGGAAATTTTTTTGCGAGAGAACAAGGGCTATCTTATTCATCTCTCCTTTTTTCTGGCGGGCATCTGAGTACCTATTGTTTTTAATATCTCAGACACTTTTGTGTCCATTTTTTTCACATCATCATTTTTTCTCTTTCTTTTCATGGATAACTTTTGCATAGCCCCATGCCTCTTCTCTGCACAAAACAATGAGAGATAATAGCAAGGACATGGAGCATTTATTTTTGTGGATGGAAAACCTAATAAGCATGTTTTTGTGTTCACCCCAGTGTATGAGTATAACATTTTTGGGTGGATCTAAATGGAAAGCATATTTTTGCACCTACCCCCAGTATAGGAGTAGTGCATATTTGGGTGGTGTGTACGTGATCTTGATTTTAAGAGCATGACAAATCTCTCATAAGGGTCACAAAGCTTGACAAAACTCAATGCAAAAACAAGCAGCATATATATGGAGTTTTCCTAGCCTAAATAACATATATGGTTCTGATAGGAATTCAAGCTTTGTCATACAGGAACTCATCTTGTAGCATTTTTGTGTTTTTTAGAAGATAAATCTCTAGAACTCTAGTGTCACTTGGAACAAGATAAACAACAGCTCAGACCTTCTCATATCATATATGTCAACTACCTAGACTTAGATCAAGCATATGGTACCCACGAGTTTCAGGTTT